TTACAGATTGCCATGTGATTCATGAGCCATGCAGGCTGAGGCACCCAAAATCCCAACCTGCAGGCACTCTGATGGCACCATACCCTGAAAAAAGGCATGGATGCAGAGAAAAAAATACACTCTTCCAGGAGGGCAAGGGCACAGCCTCAGCTTCCCCTTTGACATGGGACAGAGGAAGAGGCAAGGGCCACTCCACCTTAGCTCCTGGGGACTGAGATGTAGAAGCCTATCACCTTCCTGAAAATGTAGTCAAATAGAGTTCCAAATGTTTATCTCTGCTCAAGTAAGTCAGCATACAGGGAACACAAGCATGAGAGGAATGAAGCAATCAGCCAGACTCCATTGGAAATCTAGTTACTCCTATACGTTTGACTTCTGGGATCAATGAAGCAGGAGGAGATAGCTCTGACCCCAAGACATGTAGTGAAACATACATTCACCTCAGGGGATGGAAGAAAGAAAAGACACAACCCTGTCATCTGATTGCAGAGCATCTTTCAGCCTGAGGGATAATCCCAAACCCTTTGTGAAGATCAGCAATCCCAAGCAGAGGCTGCAGCTATTGTGGCCCTGGCTGGAGGCACAGGCAGTGGGGCAAACTCACAGGGCTGTGGGGCTCTGCTGATCTGCCTGAGGGGGCCCAGCTAGCTGGGCTTTCCTGCTACCTGTGGGTTGCCATTGGTCTATGTGCAGCTATCTAGAGACCCCAAGTATCAGGTCCCTGCTGAAGCAACCCTGCATGCCCATGGGAAGCCAAATGACATCAAAACAACCCAAGAGACAGCTTTTTCCCCCTACTGATCAATCTGCCCAAGTGGGTCCAGCAGGTAGCCTGCTCTCTGACTAGCACAGGGAGTTGAGCAGCACACACAGTTGTCAATCTGAAGGCAGCTCTCAGCAGGCAACACCCACATCACAAAAGCCATCACTATAATTAGCCTGACTTGGCTTACAGTCAGCCTTTATGTTTCCTTCCCACCCCTCCAAAAAAAACAAGCAGAGGCATCTTTGCTCCCCGGGTGATGGAGCAGTGTGTTACTGAGAACCAGGAGAGAGGTCACTGGGACCCTTGCTTGCTCTTTTTGGATAAACAAGGTTGCCCTCCTTGTGTGGGAGTCTCTTCCTCTTTCTGCCCCAATGGCCCTGAAACAGAAATAGAAAAGGGGTGAATTTGAAAGGAGGAAAAAACTGGACTTAGAGCTCCTCTCTTCCTCCTGCCCTCCACAGTCTCTGTGGGGCCAGGACAGCAGCTCCCTGTCTGGCTGGAGGGACCTGCAAAGGCAGCTGCTGGCATTGTCACACAGAAGCCAGGGAGAGAAGGCACACAGGTGGTGACTGGAAGAAAAGGTGTGTTTGTTACAGATTTGGGAACCTCTCTTGGAAGCAGTTACATACATCAATAGAAGGAGTTACAGGTGCTGGAGCAAGCTAGGAGCTGGGGCTAGTTTTACAAAAAGGAATCCTCTGAACAAGCCTGACTGCATGGTGCTAGTGCAGGAGCTGTCCCTAAAGAAACTGTGCTTTTATGTTAAAAGAAAGTGAGATTGAAGACTCAGATGAAGGTGATACATTTGATTTTGTCTAAAGACGTTTCTGAGGTGCCAATTTCAGTAACTCCCTGAGACCAGGCAAACAACTTAGTAGAAATGCCATGAAGGTTTAACGTTGACTTTCTTAATGTCTCTGCTACAGCGAGATCTAGCAAACATAGAAGAAAGCTCCTTTAATTAAATCCAAAAGGGCTATATAATCTAGAATAATACCTACAGCCTTTTGTGTCAGCAGTATGGAGTTGCTTTTGGGTAAACATATTTGGGACAGCACATGAGCTCTGTACCATTGCAGACTTTTCCTGTGGTCCTCCATAACTGTGCTGAGTGGGTTCCCCTCCCTTTGCTTTTGTGTCTTTGTGACCTACTCAGAGCTGAAGCAGCCTTCCTTGATGCCACCACACAGGGCACATACCATAGGTATGTAATAACATATATACATACAAAAATCTCCTCTGAAATCCTCCTAGTTTTACATTCAAAAAACAAACTTGTTCTGAGCCACAAATCCCATTTTCAACTCGAATATGGGCCACACTTTAAAGCCAGTTTTAATCTCAATGCCCACTGCATCTGAGGCAGGCCAAGCATGCTATGTTGTGCCCAGCAGCTTGGATCAACTTCATGACCGCTGCTCTTGTGTGGTTCAGGATGGGGCATGAATTTTCAATACCAGGACTAAGTTCTCCTGAGGTTTGTGCCTTGTGTTGTTATTTACACCTATGGAACCAGCTGTAAAATACTTACCATCCTGATTTTACCATCTCTGCCCTAGTTTACATAGATTAAAGCAATGCAAGATGTGCAAAAAGAGTCTCAAAGCAATCAGAACCCTGCACAGAAGGACACTCTCCTTCAGTTACAGCAAGGCAGGAGTACGAATTCCTCCTTAAATCTGGTCTAGTACAGAGTCAAGCCCTAGAAGAGAGGAAATTGTGCTTGACAGATGCAATCATATGCAAATGGCTGTAGAAGAAGGGAAATTATCATCTACAAACATTGGGCAGAAATTCCATCTGCCGCCTCCTCAAGAAGGGCTCTTAATAAATTCTGAGACAGCAAAGTGACACACATCTTAATCAAGACTTAATCCATGGAATTAATTCACTGCGCGTTTCTGCATAATTCTGAGAGTAATGCTAAAAGCCATGGCAATATCAGCAGCAGATGGACTCCCCCTACTCCATGCAAAGGTATTAAAGATAACACAGCCCCCATCACATCACTTCGTGTACATACACATGGCAAAAAAGCAACAGGGCTGTGCCCTGCTGCTGTCAGGAGCTTATGCAGCCTGCAGACATCAAAGGTCAGGCTTGCCTTGAGGGAGAAATGGAAACCAGCCTCATGGCAAAGACGGAGCCCCTGTCACTTCTCTCCCACAGGAGAGGAGAAGCCCGGAGCAAGGCAAAGGTCAGGGAAACCAGCACCAGGTCTCTTTGTTAGATGCTGCTTTTGGCAAGCACTGACTGAGGCCAGTGTTGAGGCAGATCTGTCAGCTCCCAGGAAAGACTGGAGATCGAAGTTAGGCAGAGGAGAGAGCTGAAGGAGGACTACAGAGCAAGGAAAGCTGCTGGGGGTTTTCTGAGCAAGATCTACAGAAATCGGGCATATAACCATTTGAAGTGGCTCCCTGCACTGTCACCACAGCCTGGGAAGCATGCTGCAGGTATGGGGCCGAGCCTTGCCAGGGGCCCTGGTGGCAGCCCTGCTGAAATTGACAGGAGGTTTTAGACAGCTCTGAAAATACATTCTTAGTCACTGTCATCCACCTCCAAAGGAGGTGCAACAGCTATGTGATTAATCTCTTGTTTACATGTCTAAATGCTAGCACAGTCCAGACAAAATAC